GCTGAAGGGTAATATCAAGTATGTTAGGATATTATGTTTTGAAAACTCCCAAACAATTTAGGGTTGTGGACGTGTAATATTTAAAACAATGTACTGGATGTGAACAATATCAGTTGTAATGTATTGATGCATGGTGATGTTTATGTTATGATTCATGTATATTCATTGTGATGATATTCAATTTAAGTCACGAGAGCCCTCGGACGTTTCCGCCGTCTGGTTTCGGGGGTGTGACAGAAAGTCAACACTTGAACTTGAAGTTATTATCTTAAAGAAATTATGGTGTCAAATATCCTTCCATAATACACTCTCTGCTATAATGCTTTTATGAGTACCTCGGTTTTGATGATGAAGAACTTTGAATGCAACAAATCTATCATCATGATCAATGACTCCTTTGTAGCCTTCACAAGTTGATTGTATGGTACTTTCATGAACCGTCCGTCCCTCGATGATAAAGATGGTTGGCTCTTCTTTTTATTAAACTAAATTAAAAAATATTAAACATAATATGGTGAAAAGTGTGGATGCAATCAAAATAATTATTAAGAACAAAGGAAACCTTTTTGATGTTTTCTCGTCTCCGTGCATTTAGGTAACCCAAGTTCAGCCATGCCACCACAAAGTCTGGTATTCCCCAAAACAGAGAATGCACTTGCATTAGCAAACACTCCAATCACTGATACTTCACCTTCAAATCATTAAATGATAGATTTACATACTCAAATGAGAATTGTTCTGAGAATTGAGGAATTTGACCTGATAAATTATTATGAGAGAGATCAAGTATCTTAACTCCTCTCATGGAACTTAATGAAGATGGTATTTTGCCTTGAAATTAGTTGTCTTTGAAAAACAAGAATACAAGGCTAATGCAACCACCAAGGCTATTTGGAATGTTACATGATAAAATCAAGAGCACTCAGCATCTTGAGTTGGCCAGCTTCTATTGGAAGTGACCCAAACAGGTTGTTTTGAGAAAGATCTATTGATATGGTTAAAGATGAAAGTTGAAGAAGTTGTTTAGGTATTTTCCACAAAATTTGTTGTGAGCAATTTGCAACCATAATAGACAATGACAATTTTCCATGCTTAATAGAATTTCCACTCTAATATGTTGGATCTTAAATCAAGGTTATTTAACAACGATATGTTTCCAATAGGAATTTGGATTCGACCATAAAAATTGGTTGTCATATAGAACAACTATTTGTAGCTGACCTATGGTGGATGGGATTTTTCTAGTGAATCGGCTATCTAATTAATCTAAAGTGGTCAAGCTGACTAGATTACATATACTTGAAGGGATGTGTCGATATAAATTATTTTTCTTTCAAGTGTAGATGAAGGTATAACATCCCGAAATCAAGGTCATTTTTTTTTCATTTTCAGAACCAATCCAAAACCATAAATGTATATAAAACATAGTTTCCAAAAGTCATAAACATGAATCAGAGTATCCCAATACCATAATCTAAAAAAATTCCAGAATGATGTGCAGGATCAAGCCTTCACCTTGCCCCTGTCCTCTAAAGTACCTAAAACCATAACAGTCAAACTGTAAGCCAAAGCTTAGTGAGTTCCCCCAAAGTACCACACACAACCAAACATATAATATCATGCATATACGAGCCTACAGCTTAATTGGACCGCCTTGCAGGCCTACAGCCTATCTAGACCGCTCTCCGGGCCTTCGTCCTGACTCGACCACCTTGTAGGCCTTCAGTCTATCCAGACCGTCCCGGCTATCTTGGCCTTCAACACAAAGTAGGACCGCATCAACGCAACAAACCATAATACATCGACATATACCATACAATCAATAACCAACAAGTATAGGTAATCATATAGATCTACCAATAAAACACATAACCAGTGAACACAAGTAATCATACAGATCTACTAGTCTATCATAAAACCAGCGTAGCATCATCCAATATACCATGCTACATAATCCAGTGAGCCAACATTAGTCCCTTCGACCCACGAGTACAGTGAGGAAACTCACCTCACAAACTGTAAAATAGTTGAATAGATCACTACTCCAAACGATGACTCTACCGGTCACCATTACAATAAATAGGGACCTAATATCAAACTACTATTCAAAATACCCAAAATGCCCCTAGGTCAAATTGGGTTAAATTTCTTTTCAACGGTCAAAGTCAAAAAGTCAAAGGGTCAATATGGATTGGGTACGCCCTGCATACTCACTCACTACGCTTGGCATAGTGAGGTCCTTCTTGGTTACTACGCTCTAACCTGGTACGAGGTACGCCCAACGTACTAGTGCTGAACCCAAAACTCCTTGTTAAGTCCTTAACATACAAAGGCAACTCATCAATCTTCAGATCTAGGCAAAAAAGGGATGTCTTAATGGATAAAGTCTCTGATTTTATCCATTTACATGCATACATGCAAAAGGGTATAAATTCAAACCCTAGGTCTAAAAGTCATCCAAGGCTCCAAAACTCGTGTATGGCTTAATGAGCATGATGATGCTCTAATTTTTATGACTCCATAAGGATACTTTACTAGACCAAGATTATGGAACCAAAAATGTAAAAAAATCCTAGATTAGCAAGATCTTAGCACACAAAACAACAAGTTCCAAGCTTTATACCTTCTGAGGATGGTTGTGGGTGAGATACTTCTGGATCTAAGGTGGCTTGAACTTCCAAGCTAGTATTCCACCTTCTTCCTCTTTCACAAGCATAAGAATATACACTTTCAAGCTAAAAATACACACACCAAGGGACTGGGGGTTTGCAATGGAGATGGAGAATGATGGGGAAAGGTCTCAAAGGAGTTAATGACATTAAAAGGATTCTTAAAGATTTTTAAAGTATGAAGTGGGAGAAGTTGCTTTCGATAACAGTCCAGGATCATGGCTTTGTAAGTGCTTCTTTTTTATATCCGATTTATGGTGTGATAAATAAGAGATATATCCTTTTCATGAGATCAAGACACTAAGAGTATGTTTAGTTATGATCTAAAAAATAGAGTCTTTAAAGAGCTAAACATCCACATCGATTTGGGTGATCTTTATGTTGCTCATTCAACAGAACCAAGTGGAAAAACTACAAGGGAGGAGGTACCGGTATCATGCTAAAGTTGTTGAATCATGGCTGATGAAATTAGAAAGTAATCGGGCTTATAATTGTACTCTGGCATGTTTTCTTCTTGTTTAGTTGCATTATTGACTATTGATGATGGATACATTATCACCACTTTTGACTTCGGTGTTGTATGATGTAAACATAAGTCTTTTTCTTAAAAGGGCAGATATTCTATTCTTACCTTCTTTAATAAAACATTTATAACCCTGCTTGTGCTATTTAAAGTAGCTAGTAAAAGGTGGCCTTCATAGTTGTTCCAAGGTTTACTCATCGGTTCCCATTGTTTTGAAAATCGGTCTAGTCAATAAAGTGGTCATCGTCATTCCATAAATTTGATGGTTCAACCGGTCTAAAAACATGATGATGTAATTATTACAACACAATTAAATATAAAGTTATATATATATATATATATATATATATATATATATATATATATATATATATAACAAAAAAGACTCTTCAAAGTTATAATACCAGTTAAAATATGAAACTTAAATAAAAAAACTAGGGTTCAACTATCTTTATATCTTAAAATAGACATGTACTCATTTATGTCATTAATTAATGAGAAATCTCCGAAATGTCATAATATTTTATCTATTTTACGAAAAAAATCTCAAATTAAATTTGTTTACGAAAAAACATGAATTAACGGTAAAAATAATGATTTTATCCATTTTTCTCGGTTTACCGGTTTCATTACTTACTTGGTTCCATTAAAGTCTCATTATTTTATGTGAATTTACGAAAAGTCACAAACTAAAATTTAGTGATGATCTGACCGTTTTCTCCATTTAACATACATTTTACTGGTTTTATTTCTAACATGGTCGCTTAGTCAATAAATGAGTTGATAAGATGGATACGATGAGTTATATAATGCTACTCTTACCGTAAAATTTGATACCCGTCTCATCGACTCATTTATGACTATGTATATAGGTCCATAATGAAACTGGTAAAATGTGTGTTTTTGAGAAAAAGAAGGCGGGAAATGAGATGGTGATTGATGAGATAGATATATTGGGTTACATAAGATTAGATGGACAATTTGAAATTTATTATAAACTTAGAAAATGACGAAATTATTGCTTGTTTTTGAAATTATTACAATTTTCGTTGGATGTATTTTATATTCCAAAAAATAATGAGACTTTAATGGAAAATACATTTTACCGGTTTTATTGTTGACCTAGACCCTAGTCATAAAATGATCTAATGAGATACATATGTAATTCATGGAACCATGTAGGTAATGAAACCATTGGAACAAGGTAAGTAATGAAACCGGGAAAAAGATGTCAAATCATCATTTTTTATGGTAATTCATGCTTTTTCGTAAACAAATATTAGTTTGAGACTTTTTCCTAAATTAGGGTAAAATATTATGACTTTTTTGGAGATTTTCCTTAATTAATTTGAAAAAAAAAGGTTAATGAAATTGTAGCTCATCTAACTTTTGGGATTTGGTCTAAAAGGCCACTGAAGTTATATTTTGGCTTTATAGGAGCATAAACTGGATTATTTCATAGTTTATACCATCAAAATTTAAAATACACGATTCACCAAATACTTAAATACATCCATATTTAACATTAGATACACACAATATTTACTAACATGATGCCTCACATATTTTGAAGCTTATTCAGAATATGCTGTAACTCACATGAGACATTTTCAATCTTCACTTGTTGTGGTGGGGAATCCACGGAACATGATACTTTGATCTTCACATCTGGGGCTACACATTCCTTTATTTTATTGCATTATCTATAGTATATACCGTAGCTATATCATCCTCTTGAAGAAAGTTTAGATAATCATCATCAATGACATCCGTTACATGGTCTGGCAAGGCCATATATGCAAATTTATTTAATCTAAGGCCTTTGTTAAAGATGTCATTTGTTGGCCTTTTCCTGTCATCACCTCCAACAATAGTATTCCAAACCTATAGACATCCCCACTACTTGTTATCACATTCCCAACACCGTACTCTGCAACTTATAAGCAATTACTTTAACAAAGGAAATTTACTAGCTACAATTTTATATGAGAATGTGAGAATACATTAACTTTACCCGGAGGTACATACCTAATTGTTTCTCTACTGCCACTTGGGTAACCATATCATCATCCAAGGGCAGAATTTGTTCCAAGAAATTGAGTTCAATCGAAGTTTCCCACATGGGCCACCATATCATCATCCAACATAATGTTGCTAGGCATCATGTCACAATGAACAATGGTTTGTAGGAAGTGATTGTGAAGATAATCAAGGGTAGAAGCGACATCAAGGATGATTCTTATTCTTTCATGAAGGTTTAGCATGGATGTACACGCACTTATTCAACCAATCATTTAATCTCCCTTTGGGCATGAACTCGTATAAAAAATGCTTTGAAGTGTGTCACACCCCGCTAAAGCGGAAACGCAAGATATGACAGCGATAACGGTTTCATTGCAAAAGATAAAGATACATCACCATAGCAATATTCAAAAGTTTACAACCCATAGCCTAATAGAAACAAGTACAAGTTTTTCCAAAATAACATTGTTCAAAATATAACTTCATAAATAACTTCAACACGATGCAACATGCTCTATGATGATGAATCTTTATATCCACTTACTAATTATTTCCTGAAAAAGCATGTAAAACGAGCGTCAACTATGAAAATAGTTGGTGAGTTCACAAGTTTATAAAATCAAGATTTGGAATAAGGCTTTTCATAAATACAAGTACATTGCTTTAATGAGAAACAAATTTGATTGCTATGATTGATAACAAGTTTATTGCTATAACGAGAAACGAGTTTGTATGTGTATGAGCAAACAATGAGTCTCAACCAAACCTATGACTGAAGCCCTATCAAGATCTATGCTTATCGTTCCATAGATGAATATGGTATCATGCACTCCAGCAATAGGGCGAGTGAGGAGTTGTCAATTCCTAATAGCGCTATTCATAATGACCATTGGCTCAAAGAGTTAATGGTTAGAGATAAGGGAAGGGCCTTAGTACGATAAGTTCTCATGTTCCGTGTTGCATAGACATACATAGAGAGACATAGCAATACAATAGCAATCATGTTTGATATAAATCGATTTAAATACAACATGCAAATAATAGTTTTTCGGGACATGCTTTTCCACCCCAAAACATAAAAACTGAAAATAAGGGAGTGGTGAATACTCACAATGTTTCGAGTAGATACAAGTGGTGCCTTGGAATACACCAACGTCTTAATGCCGGGATCCTACGACATCAAACACACACTAGTGAGTTTCCATGTCGAAATCTAATGCTAATATACTAAACTCTACATATAGTGAAATGCCAATTTATGTTCTAATATTGGATTTTATATTAATTGGTTACACTTTTTCTGAAATGATGAAATTCTACAAGTCATGCGATAAATACAACTTTGGGATATTAATTTTCCAGATTTAGTAATATAAATTTAAGGGTGTTTCAACACATTTAAAGGTGTTTTAAATTCCTAAATATGTAAAATATTATCAAATAGTTTCCAAAAATTGTCAAACCTCGTATTTTTCATTCTAAATACAATAGAGGTTTTCCAGAAAATTTTCCTTGAATTTTTGATATGGTTAACTATTTTCCAAATTTTTAAGCCTTCATAACAACATAAATTCACGAAAAATATCATTCAAAGGATAAAAATTCTCAAACTTTTTATTTTACTGTTATTACACATTACTAAGCTAGGAAAAATATAAAAATGGATTTCCAAGCTGTTTAATTATATTTTATGATTTTTGAGCATTTATTCTAATAAAAATTGAAATAAATAGAAAACAGTTTCCAAAATTACTCAAGCTTTTTATTTAACTGTTACTATACATTCCTAAGCTAGGAAAAATATAAAAATGGATTTTCAAGCTGTTTAATTATATTTTACGATTTTTGGGCATTTATTCCAATAAAACTTGAAATAAATAGAAAACAGTTTCCAAAATTACCCAAACTTTTTATTTAACTGTTATTATACATAACTAGGCTGGGAAAAATATAAAAGATATTTTTCAGTGGTTATTTCTATTTTTCCTTGTTTTATCCCCTTAAATAATCATTAATTGAAGAATAAATAACAAACAGTTAAAATAAATTACCAAAAATTTTTGTAACATCATTTACAGTGTAAGTAATCTGGGAAAAATACCAAAAGTGGTTTTCATATTGTATAATCCGGTTTTGGGTATTTATGTGTATTTAAGTGTATTTAAGTGTATTTAACATTAGAAAATAGGAGAAAAATAGTATACAGTAGAGGAAAATCATCAAAATTTTTATGTAACCTCCTAATGTACAACATGATGTTCTGGTAAATTTTCATGAATTTTGGATAATCAGAACTATTTTTCCTATTTTTAGGCCATTATAACTACCAAAAATTGGGAAAAATAGAAAGGCATGATGAAAAATTCTGAAATTATTTTTCTGAGTCTCCCACCGCAGGTAAGAGCTGCAAAAATTGTTAGATACAATTTTCACACTCTTTAAAGTGGTTTTGTGATTTATTGCACCCAAACAAAAAGAAAATCGAAAATCATACTAAACAGCAACATAAATCGATGAAATTTAATGAGAGGTCCTGATTCAACATAGGGGTCATCCATGAATTTATTCCGGATTTATAGACCTATGGAAGTATTTTATGTGATTTATGCCCTTGTTTTCTTGCAACAATTTTAATAAATCAAGGAAACGATAAAAACTCTTGGGATTTTCCAGATATTCATATTACCTTAATGGGAATCTGGAAAAATTTTGATTTGAGCAGAAAAGAACTTTTAGATATTTTTCTAGACAAAATCATTTACATGCACTATTAACAATGTACTTTGATCATCAAACTCTTTAGCTTGGTGTTCTTCACATGCATCACGGTTTGAAGACCATGCATGGACATATGTTTGTTATAGTGATGTTTTTAAAGGAAATACTTGAATGCATAAGGTATATGAGCCTTTAAAACTTGTAAAAATCCGAACCTTAGTGTTTGACATAGGTTTTGGTCCTTGGATTTCAGCATTAAACAACATGCATGTTGTTCTTGGGTGAAACCCTACCACCATCATCATCAAACACGACATTCATGAACATGTTCATGAATGTTCATAAAGAATGGTGTAGAAGGAGTAGAAGTACAAGAAAACCCTTTAAAAACAAGAAGGAAAAGTAAGGAAAATGAAGGATTTTCGTGAATACCTTGAAGAACAACCTTAGAAGATGAAGATTTGAGTGTGGAGAGGTGTTCTTGGCTGATGATTTTCGTGGGTTTGGAGAGAGAGGAGGAGAGTTTGAGAGTTGAAAGGGTGGAGTGTGAGAGAGAGTGAAGAGAGAAGTGGAAGAGTGGGGATTGTGTTTTAATGATTGAAGTTTTGGGAAGATAGAGGGCATGGGGGAGAGGATGCACGAATTTTATGAGTGAGAGAGGCTCCCTCTCTCCTAAAATTCAAATTATATAATTCTCCCTTCAATTTTTATAAAACCTAAATTTTTATAAAAATGTCTCTTTAAGCAATTTTTGATTTATTTAAAAATCTTGTTTTTTTAACTAATAAATTAAGATTAATGTATGATAATTTAAATTTCTATTTCATTGATTATAATCTATAATTTGATTAATAAAAATTTTATATTAGGAAGTTTATAGAAATTTTATAAAGTTTTTAAGCTTTAAAGTTTATAAATTTGGATTTTTGGGCTCTTTAGAGTTTTTGGAACATTGTTTGATATTCACCATCATATTGGAATGTAGTTAGAATATTTTAATTTATTTTTAGGGTTTTATACCCTTTTTCAATTGTAACAAAGTTTGAAGTTTCATTCTAATTATGGTATTGGCATTTCCTATTGTAGTTAAGCAACTTACTAGAATCGTAAGAGTCAAGTATATTAGTCCTAGATCTTAGTTGGATCCTAGTTTATGCAAGATTTTGACCTAATTTATACTACTAGGCCATGACATGTTGTGCATGAATGGTTTTTATAAAGATGCATGAGTCCGAGAATGACCTGAATTGACAGTTGTCACAAAGTGATTGCCTTGAAAGTCAACACTTGAACATGAAGTTATTATCTTAAACAAAAACTGGTGTCAAATACCCATCCCTCGATGATAAAGATGGATGACTCTTCTTTTTATTACACCAAATTAACATATATTAAACAAAATACGGTGAAAAGTATAGATGGAATCAAAATGATTATTAAGAACAAAGGACCCCTTTTTTTTATGTTTTCCTGTCTCCCTACATTTTGGTAACCCAAGTTCAGCCAAGCCACCACAAAGCCTAGTATTCCCCAATCACGGGTACTTCACCCTCAAGATCATTAAATGATAGGTTTATATACTCAAATGAGAATTGTTCTGAGAATTGAGGAATTTGGCCTGATAAATTATTACGAGAGAGATCAAGTATCTCTACTCCTCTCATGGAAATTAATGACGATGGTATTATGCATTGTAATTTGTTGTCTTTGAAAGATAAGAATACAAGGCTAGTGCAACCGCCAAGGCTATTTGGAATGTTACATGTTAAATTTTTATCAGATAAATAAACAACACTCATCGTCTTGAGTTGGCCAACTTTTATTGGAAATTACCCAAACAGGTTGTTTTGAGAAAGATCTAATGTTATGGTAAGAGATGAAAATTGAAGAAGTTGTTTAGGTATTTTCCACTGATTTTATTGTGAGCAAGTTGGAACGGTAATACTCGATGACAATTTTCCATGCTTAATGGAATTTTCACTCTAATCTATTCGATCTTAAATCAAGGTTAATCAACAAAGATAAGTTTCCAATGGAATCTGGAATCGACCCTAAAAATTGGTTGTCATATAGAATAACTATTTGTAGCATTTGAAGCTGACCAATGGAGGAGGGGATTTTTCTTGTGAATCGGCTATCTAATTAATCTAAAGTGTTCAAGCCGACTATATTACATATACTTGAAGGGAGGTGTCGATATAAATTATTTTCCTTTCAAGTGTAGATGAAGGTGTAACATCCCAAAAATCAAGGTGACTTTTTTTCATTTTCAAAACCAATCCAAAACCATAAATGTATATAAAACATAGTTTCTAAAAGTCATAAACATGAATCAGAGTATCCCAAAATCATAATCTAGAAAAAATCCAGAATGATTTTCAC